GATGGCCTCGAGAGTCTCCTTAGATTATCCCAATATTCCTAAGATCTCTTTCTCGGTTGCAACTGTGTGAGGAGCTTAGCGTTCAAGAGTTATATTTCTTCGAGAACTTCGAGAATAAATTTGTTCTTCCAGAAACGAAACAGGGTATCATCATCTCGTACGAGAACCTTTTCTCTCTGTTGGTGCCCATAAGTGGTGATGTCCTTATTCACATGATTACCATTCATCTTCACCTTGATAATGGGGCAAGAATAGTCAAAAGAAACTTCTTGTAGTCACCAACAGATTCACAACCTTTATCTTCAAGAAGTGCATCCCTATTTGTGCAAGCGAATTCGAACTGCAGTCTCTCGAGATTAAGGTTTCTTACTTTATGGACTCAGGCATTTTGTTGGCGTTCATATCGATTGAGCAAATGTGAATAAGCGATGAAAGCAGGGTGACCGGAAAGTTTCTCCAATATCTTTGCAACTAAAGATGTGTCGTTAGTCCAAAGCTAGTCGAGAAATGCACCTTATTTAGTCAGAAAGTGAACGCTGTTTGTACGCATTCGGTCAGCCTAATGTGATGAAATGCCGCTTCATTCGTATCCCCGAAAATGTAGAGGCGATGGGAGTCGGCATACATTTCGATGGTCCCAACGGCAATATGCTTCGAGGTGGATATTTTTTCACTTATGTGGATACAGTGGATGCAAAGATATACTTTCCTTTACACTCCACTGCCACCAGGTCGAGGTGATCGTTCGAGGCCAGGTTAGAAGAGTAGATAAGGTTGGGTCGAAAGCGAAGCCCCGAATAATGGCAGTTCTAGCCCTAGGGCAATCACGTCACTGGTATACACCTGGCCCGACTGCTCCATTCTCTTCCTTGGTTTTCCTCCGAAGTTATGATATTAATTGAAACATTATGTCTTTATTTCGTAGCCAATCGTTCATTTAAAAAATTTCCCTTAAATTGCGGAAGGGAATGCATCGGATGGGAAAGAGGCGGGGAGGATTCCGTACTCAAAAGTTTAAAGGGGGTGCGACTGTAGTGAGAATATATTATTATTTACGGAAATTGTAGATAGTCATTCGCCCTTTTGGAATGGCAATGAAAATATGCCGCTCAGTCAGACTTCCTCGTTCTGTGTTGCTGTATCCCCAAATCTGAGGAAGGGAGCTTGTTTGTCACGGTAGTGCCAAATCTCGTGATTTTCATAAACACCAGGGGGATATTCCTTCTCACCACTTCAACAAAGGATCTTCCATTTCTTCCTCACCTTCTTGTCTTTGCTGAGCAACTCAGAATTTATTAAGCAAATTCAGATGAACAGCCGCGTTCTTACAAATATTCTGGATACTCAATGGTTGATTTGTAATTTCGATTGGATCATCTCGGCGAAAGATGACAATTGACCCCAAAGGGTTGTTTTGGGATCCCTCCCTTAGTCCACTTCAGGAATTCCATATTCCGCGCGTTTCCATCGCATCACTTTGGTCTTTCCCGACCCAAGATCCTTTGAAACGATGAAACGAACGTTTCTCTCCGTCGGTTCCAAAATCATCAGATGTTCTTGCAGGCGGCGACTGTACATACGATCGGCTTCTATGAATGCTATGATCCTGGCAACGCAATCTAGAGATGCAATCGTTCAAGCGCAATAGAATGGAGGTGCGAAGAGCAAGGTAATATGGCAAGAAAAACTAACCAATAGACATTTATAACAAAGGAGAAATAAACTAGAAAAAGGAGATTTTATCAGTCAGCTGAGGAGAGTGTATACCAGAGACGTCATTGCCTCTCGAGCCTCCCCCCCTGCTGAGATGTAGCCCAATCTTGTCTACTCTTTTAACCTGGGTTCGAGGCGGATAAGCATCGGTTTTGAGTCAGTCAGTATTCACGTAGACAACAGTTCCCTCACCTCTTCTTTTTTTGGAGGGTTGTCTGTCTGCTCCAAGGGGGGATCCATCCATGCATCTATGCTTTCTGCTTCGTCTGCATGAAATGATTGATCCAGGACTCTTGTAAGCATATGACACTGACATTCTTGAACGATGATCTTTGAGTTAGCTCAAAAACACATCTAACTTTGGAAAGAGGCTTTGTGCATTTTCCACCAAGATTATAGTTCAGTCGCTTCGGATCACAATACAGTATTCAGGTTTCTTGAAAAGTCTGCCTCTAGAACTGCGCTTATTTTTATTCCTGTGAATTCCATCTTTCAACACAAATGAGTAAATATCAGGAGGTAAGAACCTTGGTACGGAGCTTCGATGGACCTGAAGTTCAAAGCTGGTGTATTGATGGTATTTTTCAGCACTCATGAAGGGAAATAGATTTATGACTAAAATTTAAAAAAAGAACTGAAGAAGGGCACAGACCAGCTGCCACTCCGGGCGCAGCCATGAGGGAATGTAGCAATTTGCATACAGTAATTAAGAATTTAATACTTTCAGATTAGTTTTGAAATACTGACAATGGCGATGTAGAATCGATGATGAACTCCCTGCTTCGCTAGCACTTCATATGCTCTTCTGACCATACTCTGGAAGACAGAGTTTTCTCGAAGTTCATTCAGAATTTCCCTTTGTTTACGGAGGAGAAAGTGACAGACAAAGACTTAAAGGCACGGCAAAAAGGACCAATGACTGTGAATTTAAAGAATCAAAATAATTGGGAAAACTTACTCGGTATGAATGAAAGTAAAGCATCCATATTTACAGACACTCAAATTAATTGGTCTTCTTCGCCATGCCCTTTAGCCATCGTTTGTCACGTTCACCTCCGTAAAGCAGGTGAAATTCTGAAAAAAAGTGAAGGATCTGTCACAAAATCTGCTATTTTCCCAAAGTACCTATAGGAATGGCAAATAATGAACTTTGAGAATGCTCTCTGGATCGATACTCATTGATTCATCAGCTGTTTATTGGAATAAGCACATGAAAACCATCTGCAAGAAACTACTAGTCCAAAGAATGAATTTAAATAGAAGATGAGTACGACATAGTCTTGAAGATCAGGAAGGACAGCGCGGGAGTATTTCCTCCACTCCACAACCAGCAGTAGTACTTTTACATTCTCAAGATCTAACTTCATTTCAATAATTGCTGATAGCGTTGTTTCGGGTAAACAAATTCTGATGAAATATTGAGAATCAGTTGGAAACATACTCAAATATCTGATTGGAAAGAAAGTTCTCGGAATTTCTTGAATATCCAGTACAATTTTTTTCCAGAGCATGCTAGAATGTTCTGCGTGTGTTTATAAGTAGGTCGTGTCCTTCGGCATACAACCGTATATTATTACAGCCCTGGTGCTCTCCAGCCATGAACCAGCCCTACCCTCTTACTAAGGAGCAAGTTCGCCTGCTTCTT